TACCAAGCCAATGGCCCCCGAAAACAAGCAGGAGTAGCAATACTTATCTCTGACAAAGTAGACTTCAAACCTACATTGATCAAACGAGATAAAGAAGGACATTCCATACTAATAAAAGGGGAAATAGACCAAAAGGAAATAATAATCATCAATCTGTACACAACCAATGTCAACGCACCCAATTTCATCAAACATACCCTGAAAGACCTAAAAGCATATATAAACGCCAACACAGTGGTTGTGGGAGACTTTAACACTCCATTATCATCAATAGATAGGTCATCCAAACAAAAACTCAATAAAGAAATCCAAGATCTAAAATATGCAATAGATCAAGTGGACCTAGTAGATGTCTACAGAACATTTCATCCAACCTCTACACAATATACATTCTTCTCAGCAGCCCATGGAACCTTCTCCAAAATAGATCATATCCTAGGGCACAAAGCAAGCCTCAGCAAATATAAGAAAATAGAAATAATACCGTGCATACTATCTGACCACAATGCAGTAAAAGTAGAACTCAACAACAAAAGTAAAGACAAAAAACATGCAAACAGCTGGAAACTAAATAACTCATTACTTAATGAAGAATGGATCATCGATGCAATAAAAGAGGAAATTAAAAAGTTCCTGGAAGTCAATGAAAATGAAAACACAACCTACCGGAACCTATGGGACACAGCTAAGGCAGTCTTGAGAGGAAAGTTTATAGCCATGAGTGCATATATTAAAAAGATTGAAAGATCCCAAATCAATGACCTAATGATACATCTCAAACTCCTAGAAAAACAAGAACAAGCAAATCCCAAAACAAATAGAAGGAGAGAAATAATAAAAATAAGAGCTGAAATCAATGAAATAGAAACCAAAAAAACCATACAAAGAATTAATGAAACAAAAAGTTGGTTCTTTGAAAAAATAAACAAGATCGATAGACCCCTGGCAAACCTGACTAAAATGAGGAGAGAAAAAACCCAAATTAGTAGAATCAGGAATGCAAAAGGGGAGATAACAACAAACACCATGGAAGTCCAGGAAATCATCAGAGACTACTTTGAGAACCTATATTCAAATAAATTTGAAAATCTAAAGAAATGGACAGATTTCTAGATACATATGATCATCCAAAACTGAACCAAGAGGAAATTAATCACCTGAATAGACCTATAACACAAAATGAAATTGAAGCAGCAATCAAGAGTCTCCCCAAAAAGAAAAGTCCAGGACCTGATGGATTCTCTGCTGAATTCTATCAGACCTTTAAAGAAGAACTGATACCAACCCTCCTTAAACTGTTCCATGAAATAGAAAGGGAAGGAAAACTGCCAAACACATTTTATGAAGCCAGTATTACACTTATCCCAAAACCAGGCAAAGACACCTCCAAAAAGGAGAACTATAGGCCAATCTCCTTAATGAACATTGATGCAAAAATCCTCAACAAAATAATGGCAAACCGAATTCAGCAACACATCAAAAAGATTATTCACCACGACCAAGTAGGCTTCATCCCAGGGATGCAGGGGTGGTTCAACATACGAAAATCAATAAACGTAATAAACCACATTAACAGAAGCAAAGACAAAAACCACTTGATCATCTCAATAGATGCAGAAAAAGCCTTTGATAAGATCCAACATCATTTCATGATAAAAGCTCTAAGAAAACTAGGAATAGAAGGAAAGTTCCTCAACATTATAAAAGCTATATATGACAAACCTACAGCCAGCATTATACTTAACGGAGAAAAATTAAAACCATTCCCTCTAAAATCAGGAACCAGACAAGGATGCCCACTATCTCCACTCCTATTCAACATAGTACTGGAATTCCTAGCCAGAGCAATTAGGCAAGAAGAAGGAATAAAAGGAATACAAATAGGTAAAGAAACTGTCAAAATATCCCTATTTGCAGACGACATGATCCTATACCTTAAAGACCCAAAAAACTCTACTCAGAAGCTTCTAGACATCATCAATAGCTATAGCAAGGTAGCAGGATATAAAATCAACATAGAAAAATCATTAGCATTTCTATACACTAACAATGAGCAAACGGAAAAAGAATGTATGAAAACAATTCCATTTACAATAGCCTCAAAAAAATCAAATACCTAGGTGTAAACCTAACAAAAGATGTGAAAGACCTCTACAAGGAAAACTATACACTTCTGAAGAAAGAGATTGAGGAAGACTATAGAAAGTGGAGAGATCTCCCATGCTCATGGATTGGTAGAATCAACATAGTAAAAATGTCGATACTCCCAAAGTAATCTACATGTTTAATGCAATTCCCATCAAAATTCCAATGACATTCATTAAAGAGATTGAAAAATCTACTGTGAAATTTATATGGAAACACAAGAGGCCACGAATAGCCAAGGCAATACTCAGTCAAAAGAACAATGCAGGAGGTATCACAATACCTGACTTCAAACTATATTACAAAGCAATAACAATAAAAACAGCATGGTACTGGCACAAAAACAGACATGAAGACCAGTGGAACAGAATAGAGGATCCAGATATGAAGCCACACAACTATGAGCAACTTATCTTTGACAAAGGAGCTAAAAATATACGATGGAGAAATAGCAGCCTCTTCAACAAAAACTGCTGGGAAAACTGGTTAGCAGTCTGCAAAAAACTGAAACTAGATCCATGTATATCACCCTATACCAAGATTAACTCAAAATGGATCAAGGATCTTAATATCAGACCCCAAACTCTTAAGTTGATACAAGAAAGAGTAGGAAATACTCTGGAGTTAGTAGGTATAGGTAAGAACTTTCTCAATGAAACCCCAGCAGCACAGCAACTAAGAGATAGCATAGATAAATGGGACCTCATAAAACTAAAAAGCTTCTGTTCATCAAAAGAAATGGTCTCTAAACTGAAGAGAACACCCACAGAGTGGGAGAAAATATTTGCCAACTATACATCAGACAAAGGACTGATAACCAGAATATACAGGGAACTTAAAAAACTAAATTCTCCCAAAACTAATGAACCAATAAAGAAATGGGCATGTGAACTAAACAGAACTTTCTCAAAAGAAGAAATTCAAATGGCCAGAAAACACATGAAAAAATGCTCACCATCTCTAGCAATAAAGGAAATGCAAATTAAAACCACACTAAGATTCCACCTCACCCTGTTAGAATAGCCATCATCAGCAACACCACCAACAACAGGTGTTGGCGAGGATGCGGGGAAAAAGGAACCCTCTTACACTGTTGGTGGGAATGTAGACTAGTACAACCACTCTGGAAAAAAATTGGAGGCTACTTAAAAAGCTGGACATCGATCTACCATTTGATCCAGCAATACCACTCTTGGGGATATACCCAAAAGACTGTTACTCCAGAGGCACCTGCACATCCATGTTTATTGCGGCACTATTCACAATAGCCAAGTTATGGAAACAGCCAAGATGCCCCAGCACTGACGAATGGATTAAGAAAATGTGGTATCTATACACAATGGAATTTTATGCAGCATGAAGAAGAACGAAATGTTATCATTCGCTGGTAAATGGATGGAATTGGAGAACATCATTCTGAGTGAGGTTAGCCTGGCTCAAAAACCAAAAATCGTATGTTCTCCCTCATATGTGGACATTAGATCAAGGGCAAACACAACAAGGGGATTGGACTATGAGCACATGATAAAAGCGAGAGCACACAAGGGAGGGGTGAGGATAGGTAAGACACCTAAAAAACTAGCTAGCATTTGTTGCCCTTAACGCAGAGAAACTAAAGCAGATACCTTAAAGCAACTGAGGCCAATAGGAAAAGGGGACCAGGAACTAGAGAAAAGGTTAGATCAAAAAGAATTAACCTAGAAGGTAACACCACGCACAGGAAATCAATGTGAGTCAATGCCCTGTATAGCTATCCTTATCTCAACCAGCAAAACCCTTGTTCCTTCCTATTATTGCTTATACTCTCTCTACAACAAAATTAGAGATAAGGGCAAAATAGTTTCTGCTGGGTATTGAGGGGGGAGGGGAGGGGGGGAGTGGGTGGTAAGGGAGGGGGTGGGGCAGGGGGAGAAATGAACCAAGCCTTGTATGCACATATGAATAATAAAAGAAAAATGAAAAAAAAAAAAAAAATAAAGTGGCACAGGGCTGTGATCGAAGATAGCCAGAGGTCACTGCTGAGGGACAGTGGGATCCAAAAAGGCTGTAGGAGAAGCATGGTGGCTCGCAGGCAAGGACTGGAGAGGGGTCGGGAATGTCAGAGGTAGGTGGCGTGGTACAACACCTAGACGATGGCTGGAGACCTGTGTGGAGGCCAGAGGATGTGTTAAAAAAAAAATAAAGTGGCACAGGGCTGTGATCTGAAGGATGAGCAGAGTTCACTGCTGAGGGACAGTGGATCCAAAAGGCCTGTAGGAGAAGCATGGCCGCAGGAGGACTGAGAGGGGTCGGGGAAGTCAGAGGTAGGTGGACGTGTACAACACCTAGAAGAGGCTGGAGACTGTGTGGAGGCCAGAGGATGTGTTTAGGAATGTTTGGCTTTGACCTTGAGATCAGTCTCTAAAGGGGCTTAGGCAGGGGTGACATGCCACAATTTAATGTGCAAGATCACTGTGGCTTTGGGTAGAGAATGGTGACAGTGGAAGACTGACAGGACCTGGGAGAAGGTGAACTTCCCTGTGTGTGAGGCATAAGGGAGCCTCTACCCTTCAGGGATTACACTCTGCAGATTGAAATCCTGCTGCTGAGTGCTGGGGTGAGGCTTAACTGACAGACAGACCCTGAGTTCAAGGTGTGGCAGGTTCTGTCACCCTGGGGCAGAGGGTGACACTGCTCCTGGGACTGAGTTCACAGAGAAGTTTAGGACCCAAGCTAAGGGAGGCGAGGGGACCCACCGTGTGGCTGACTCTCTGGAGCACCTGTACTGGGCGCATCCCATGACTCAGGGTCTCAGAGATCTCAACCTGCATCACCCAAGTGCCACACATGTATTAGACACAGACAACCACCCTTACCTGGTCATTCAGCGGTATCCCTCTTCCCATCTTCCTGCGATTTTCCTCCGGGTGATAGTCATCTGCATCATAAAATTTCCATCCTAGCTTTAAGAACAAAGGGAAGAATATGTGTGGCAGGCAGTATGGTCCAAGTGACAGCAACCAGGGAGCTACTACTGGGCAAGTGTGAAAACAATACCACCACCCTCTTCCCTGAACAACCCAGTCACTCCCCCCACCCCTCACCCAGACATGGGAGGGAAGAGCCTTGCAACGAAATTTCACAATCCCATCACTGGGCTGAGGCAGCCCTTTTTCTTTTTATTACGGCTTGTTCCCATGGTTTGAAAGCTGTGCAGAGGTTTCTGTACAAACCACTACATGCCAGAAGGGAGGGAGAGAAGAAGCAATGAGACAAGAACACAATGGGATACATGATTAGGAGGCACTAGAACAGGTTACCTCAGAGGCCAGCTGGGCACCCACTGTTGATCTGTGGAGAAGGAAGAGATGTTCCAATTACTGTCCTTGCCCAACGTGTGAGGCATTTCCTTCCTTGCAAGATGCCTGGGAAACATGACTGCCCCAGTCGATATTAAAATGCTAGTTCCTATGGGATCCTAAAGCAGTTATGTCCCTGACCCTGGAGTCCAAGATTGGCCTTTGCTGTTCTCTAGGAATGTCAGTGGAGACATAATTAGCCAGTAACCACTATTTCTTTTCCAAAAGGTAAAATATCAGATTTCATTAAAATGCTGAGGTTTGCCAGGTACCGGTGGTTCAGTCCTGCAGTTCTAGCTATCTGAGAGTTTGAGATCAAGAGGATGGCAGTTTGAGGCCAGTTAGGGCAAACAGTTCATGAGACCCTGTCTCCAAAATAACCAGAGAAAAATGGACTAGAGGTGTGGCTCAAGTAATAGGGCACCTGCTTTGCGAGCACAAAGGTGATTTCAAACCTCAGTCCCACCAAAGAAAAATCTGTTTTTCTTCAATGATCAAAGTTTTCTCATCCCTATTGTATAGATGTTTATCTTTTGAGAGAAAATACTGAATTAATGAAATGATAGAATTCTGTTGAGGATGTTGGAGGGAGAAGTCTGATGAAAGATTTAATCCCTAGCCACATAAAAGCATCAGAAGCTGCAATTGGAGTTTAAAGAGACACACCCTTACAGGACAAGGGTCAATGAAAATGTTCGCTGTGTACAAAATGGGAGCTCAGAGCACTGCCACCATTCTGCAGGTAAATAACTGGGTTCCTGGGCAAACTGCTCTCCTCAGTTACATATTATTCAGCCATTCCTTTTTTTGGCAACACTGGAATTTGAACTCAGGAACTTATACTTGTTAGACAGGCGCTCCACCACTTGAGCCACTGTGATAGCCCTTTCTTGTGATTTTTTTTGAGATAGGGTCTTGGGAGCTATTTGCCCAGGGATGGCTTTAAACTGTGATCCTCCTAATATCAGCCTTCTGGGTAGCTAGGATTATAGGCATGAGCCACTGGCACCCAGCTAGTCAGCCATTCTTTATTGAGCACCTACTAGTTGCCAGGATAGCCACCTTAAGGCCAAGAGTTCAGCACCACTGAGTGGGGATGGAGTCGGGGACAATGATGCATGAAATCCTTTCTTGCTGTTAACTTCTAACAGCAGTCATTGAAGCTCCACTTTCAGAATTACACTATATCTTCATTTATTGTGTCCTCTGTTTTGCATGCTATCCCTAGCATTATTTGCTTGATATTTTATTTAATTAACATTACTTTTAACATGAACTTTAAAGTAATTTCAAAAATCAAATAGCCAGTGGGGGAGAGGGAAGGGATGCAAAATAAATTAGGAAGGTTTAAGCTTGCGCTCCCAAAAGCTGAGAGAGGCTTTACTAAGACAGTTAAAATATACAGAAAAGGAACACTGCTGCTATTCAAAATACTCATCAATTTTCCAAGCAAAATATTTTTTGAACACCTACCATGTGCTAGGTACTGTTCTGGACACATATATCAGTCAACAAAAGGGAAATCATTCTTATTCAGGCGGGGGATGGGAAGACAAAGAACATAATAAATATGTAAACCTGTTGGACATTGTTTCATTGTAAAAGAGTTACAAACAGTCTTTCTGTTCTAAGACTATGTTCTCTTCAGCCATTAGGTTGTGACAATTATTCTTGAAAACAAAGTAAATTTAATTAAAAAACCCCCAGGACCCTAACAGGGACTCACAAGTCAACAAAGAACTCTGTTGATGGATAAATACATTGATTTTCAGTCATTTCATCACTCAGCATATTTGACTTATCTCTGACCTTGAACAACTGGAGAGTCCCAGGGCTCAGTCTCTGGCTGACTTCTTCTATATTTACACTCAGTCTCTTGGTGGTATCAACATCTTATGTTTTTAAATATATTCACACACCAGTGATGCCCTCATTTACATATAAAGCCTTTTCTTCTCAACTTCACTTGGATACCCAAACATCCCTTGACACATCCACTTGGGTGACTGACAGGCCCATCTAACTCACCACATCCCACACTGAGCTCCTAAGATTTATTTTTCAAACCTGTTCCACCTTATATTCCCAGATCAGTCTGCAGCAACTACCTTGACTTCTCTCTTGCCCTCATGTTCCACATCCAGTGCACAAACACATCTTTTTGATACTATCTTCAAAATATCTCCAAATATATGACCACTTCTCTTTACCTGCGTTGTTTCGCTGACCTCAATTCCCATCATTTCTCTACTCATTAAGCCACAACGGCTCCCTTGTTGGTCCTTGAAGCCAAACCTCAGAGTCTTTGAACTTGCTGTTCCCCTTGCCTTCGATATGGCCATGGCTTATTCCCCAACTTTCTAGTCATTCTTCCTCCCAGGCGCCTTCTCTGACCGTCCTGTTTAGGACTCCATTCCACTTTTCCCGAGACCATCTGTCACCGTCTGACACAATGTGTATTTATCGGTTCATTTATTCTGTCTGTCACACTACAAGGTAAACTCTTTGCGGACATAGATTTTATCCGCCGCCCCTCCCCACTCCCATCCCGCCGTCCTGGTCCTCATGAAAGGACCCCTCCATATTAACACTGCCTCCTTCCAGTTTAAGAAAGGGGAAAACAACGCACCACATGGTTACTTCACTTTCCAAACTCTAATCAAAAAAGTCCAGCAACTCCCAGGAGGGAGCAGCACTCCCGCCTGCCCAGGCAAGTCTGTAGAGCCTGGGACCTGGATCACCTGCTACCTTGTGACAAGATGCCCAACCCGACTTTCGTGACCGGCAGCCTCAGGCTAACCCTCGGAGCGGGGTTCCTCTCGCGGCTCCCGTTACCGCAGCCCTTTACCAGGGGCTTCCGATTCCCGCTGGGGGTGCAGCGCGGGGAGCAGGCTCCGGGTGCGGGCAGAGCAGTTGCGGCGCCCGGGTTCCTCCTGTGTAAGAGAAGGGACGTGGCTGCCTCCCCGGGAGCCACGGCCTCCCCGGCTCCAGGACCTACTTTCCCGAGCCGCTGACGCCCATCACCAGTAGCACGCCGGGCGCGGCCATAGTCCCAGCCTGCTCTTCGCGGTCTCCTTCCGACCCAGGGCTCCGGGCGCGCGCTCTCCGCGCCCCCGCCACCCTGCGCGCCCTCGCGCAGCCGGAAGTGCAGCGGGAGTCGCTGCTGGAGTCCCTTCCTGCGGGTTGTGCTGTTCTCTGTACCTCCTCCATGCAGGCACCTTCTGGGCTCGCTTGGAAAAAGAATGAATAAAATAAGAGCGATGCACAGATAACACGCGCAGCAATTTCAGGTGCTCAGGGTTCTTGAGCCCCTTCTGAGAATGAAAGCACAGGCAGACTCCAGCAGCAGGGTCGGAAAGATTTTATTTGTAGAGAAGAGAAAGACTGCATGATGGGGAAAGTAGGGGGACCCAGAAACCAGTGGTCCCCGTGGGTCAGGGTTGGAATTTGGGTTTTATAGCCTTTTTGTGCATTGCCTGAAGGCGGAGATGCCTTTCAGATGCAGTGGGGCGTTTCCTAGGAAGGAGAAGTGTCTTCTTGACCTCCTATGCTCCGTCCTTCAAGAGCACACTGCTTACAACAGGAGGCTGCACATCCCAAAATGCACCCTCCTCCGGGGAAGGGAGGCAGCTGTATCAGGAAATTGGGTCGTGCAGTGTGCCTTTTGTCACAATAATTGTGGCAGACACCTTTTAGTGTAGAATGTAGAGTTGATTACAGTAGTACATACAATGCTCGTATGGCTCTGCTTTTGTTACATGCTGGTGTGGAAGTGTTGCAGGCAGTTGTCCAGGGTCCTTGCCTTCAGAGGCCAGAGAACTGGCTCGTGAGGCAGCTGAATGATGAGCCAAAGCTGGTATATAAAGTAGGATTTATTAGAGAGAAAGGAAAGGCTACAGCTAGAGAAGTGCAGTGGAGCCTGGAAACCAGTAACTCGCTGCTCAAGTGAAGGCTGGGGTTTTTATGGACGTTTTAACTCTGGGTTAGGTGTGTTTTTCTCATTGGCCGTGGATTCCTGGGCCTTCTCAGGTGAACTGGTTTGGTTTGCACCTTTATTGGGGGAGGGGAAACAATCTTGAGAGCATTTTGCTCATCAGCCCTGTAACAGATCTATCAGACCCTTTATCTTTCTTTAAGATGCAGAAATGCAGTTTACAACTCCCTCTCAGGATGCAGGAATGCAGGCCTCTTGGGGGGGATGGGCTACTTAATCTACCTTAGGTCTCCAGACCCAACAATTCCCCCACTGAGACAAGTACCCAACTGCTATTGGGGAGAAGAGCAATGACTCATCTAGCTGATTCCTGCTGACAGTGGGGTGACAGGAGGATAGGGGTGGTGGTACTTGTCTCAGGGGTTGACCCTTGTAGTCTCCAAGGGCCCCATAGAACGGAATGGAGGGCTCAGGTGTAGGCAGAGGTGAGTATTCCTTGACTAAGAGCTGGAGTTTCATCCACTGGACCTGTTGAGATATGAATCTGGAGAGAGCATTCATTATACAAGGCCCAAATAGGAGTATTAAAAGGAGCATAAAAAGGGGCCAGCCACAGGTAGTGCCCAAGGAGTGCAGCTCCATATGTTGTCCCAGAAGGACCATGAATTGGCTAGCTCTTGTCAGGGAAATTACTTAAAAAGAAGGAGCACTCCTTTATAATACTTATTTGTCTTGAAATGATGTCTTGATTATGCATCATTTTACAATATTTGATTTCTCACTTCTAACATGTTCCATCACTGCCTTTGTTTACCTAGTTCATATGACACTATGTCCTAGAATGCAATTAAGGAGACAAAAATCATCTAATGACTATTTCAGTTATCCCTGCCCAGACTTTTATACTTAGCCTGAGTGGGTGAGATTTCAATTTGCTAGAATGTTAGGTCCCAATCCATGAGGCCAGTGCCTGGGGTGTGAAAGTGTTGGGTCTGGAGACCTAAGGTAGATGAGTGAGTATCCCATCCTCCCATAGAGATCACTGCATTCCTGCTTCCTCAGAAGGAGTTGTAAATCTGCATTCCTGCATCCTGAAGAGGAGATACAGCTTCTGATAGATCTGCCACAGGGCTGATAAACAAAATGCTCTCAAAATTGTTCCCCTGAAGGACTGAAGGACGGACTGCAGGAGGTCCCAAAAGGTGATAAGTGGTCAAGGAGACACTTCTCCTCCCTAGGAAATGCCTGTTTGCATCTGAAAGGCATCTCTGCCATCAGGCAATGCAAAAAGGCTATAAAACCCCACTCCCACCCTGACCCACAGGATCACTGATTTCTGGGTCCCCCTGCATTCCCTAATATGCAGTCTTTCTCTTCTCTTTTCTCCAGCTAAATTCTGTACAAATAAAATCTTTCTGACCTCTGCTCTTAGAGTCTGTCTGTGCTTTCATTCTCAGAGCAGGCTCAAGAACCCTGAGCACCTGAAATTCCTGCATGTGTCATCCATGCATCATATTTGGTGATGCACGGAGGGACCCAATCTCTTCTGAACCAATGTCAGTATAGGTTGTGCCAAACTGGGAAAGACTGCCTAGGAATGTGACCGTGAGCGTCTGGCACTCTGGTGGAGTCTATTTTCCAAGAGAGACCCACCCACCATGGCCTAGCTATGGTGGAACTCTCAGGTCGACCTTTTCTCCCTCTCTCTCTGCCTTGTTAAGGAGGGTTTCTTCCTTGGAAAACTGAGGAAAAGCTCCAAGCCCACTACAGCTGTACAGCAGGCAATCTGAGGAAACTCAGAGGCCAGGCAGGGATTTATACTGCACTGCCAATGCTATGTGGGCAGAACTCGACTTCAGTGCACCGAGGCTTTTTCTTTTTTCCCCTCCTTAAATGCTAACTCTCTCTTTCAAAATCTGGCCAGCTTAAGGGGAGGTCTGAAAACAGCCGGTGGAAAAGAAACTTTGTCTTCAAGCCACAAAAGGTATTCTGGCTGGGGCACTCCCTGGTGTCACCCAAAGGCTGAAGATGCAACTTTCTGACCCACCCTGAGGCTCCAAAGGTGGCTAAGTCTTGGACCTCTCCAGCCATGTCTGCAGCAAACAGACAATCAGATCTCTTATGTTTCCTTCATGGTTTCCATGGCCTGAGAGTGGAGGTCACCTCTTGCTTCCAGTGCTCTAGTACTGCCTTTGGGCAGGATTGACCTGGACAGCAGGGATGATCAATAATCCCTCATGCATTGAGCCTGGAAACCTTCTTTTCCCCCAACCCTCAGCCTCTCCTTCCCCTTTCCCAGGCAGTTCAGGATGAGTGTCCCCCTCCCCACTTTGCTCTAAAGCAGTGAGCTCCTTTCTTTAGGGAGTTTGGGAAAAATCCTTTACAGACACCAGAAAGTGCTAGTCTCCAATTTAGGCTTAACTGTCTTTGTCAAGCATCAGGTTAACTGGTTAAACAGGTTCCTCAGCCTGCCCTCAGGGAAAGAAAAAAAAAAATAGTTAAAAGGCAAAAACCACAGGTCTCTGTTTTTTGCCCCTTGCCGGAGCAAAAGCCTCCAGATGCTCTCTCTCTCTCTCTTTTCATAGAAAGCACGTAGGTTTCACAGACTATATAGGGGAACAAAACTTTACTTCATCAGGAGTCCCCATCCATGCCTCTAAAGGGGTCCTCCTTCTGGCTATGCAAGCCCTCTTGGTTACTTTGATAGAGTTATTTTTTTAATAGTAAGTGTTCAGCTGGTAGAGGAGAACTAGGCCTACCTGGGTCGCAGGGCACACAGGCAAGTCAAAATAGATGAGAGATTGGTCAAAGATCATCTTGGGGGGGGGCACAACTGAGATATCTATCTGTAAATCCTCCATGGCTTTACCCACAAGTGGCAGTGAAAGGAGCAAGGGAGAGCAGGACACCTCTCCCACTAGAGTTTCTCCTAATCTGGGGACACTTAGATAAAAGGAGAAACCTCTGTTAAGGTGACCAATTTTCCCTTGTTTCCCTTTTTAGATGGGAAGTCAAGCTTCAAGGATCCAGGAAGGATCCCCCTTGCCTGCTTATTAAAACATTGGAAAGATCTTGATCCAGAAATCTTCAGCAAAAGCGACTCAAGTTTTACTGCACCCAGGCTTGGCCACAGTATCCTCTAGGAAATGAGGAAAGATGGCCATAAGGAGGGAGCATTAACTATAATACCATTCTTCAATTAGATATGTTCTGTAAAAAGGAGGGAAAGTGGACTGAAGTTCCATATAGTCAACTGTTCTTTTTCCTAGGAGACCACCCAGAATGGCTAAACAAATGCAGGCTAGATACTCAGACCATGATAACCCTTTGCAAAAAGCCCCCAAACTCCCTTGAACCAAAAAACCCATCAGCTCCACCTCTTCCCCCTTACCCAGCTACCTCACACACTAGCCATTCTCCCACAGGACTCTACCCCCTCCAGTTAATTCCTGGAGGGGATAGGGCTCATGTTCCTTTTAGAATGAGTGAATTTAAAGAAATAAAACAGGATTTAGGAAATTACACAGAAAACCCAGATCAGTACATCCAGGCATTTAGAGAAGTCAGCCAAACTTTAAACTGAGCTGGAAAGATGTAAGGCTATTGCTATCTCAGACCCTCACTTCTCTGGAGAAACAGCGGGTTTTAGATCAGGCAGTCACAGCTGGAGACAATTATCACTTAGATAAAAGTGGCCCTACAGCCCTGCCTTGGACTGCGCCCTTACCAGAGGAGGAGGGGAAGGGAGAATAAAGACAAAGACATTGGATACCTAAAAGGGAACCTTGATTCCCAATTCCAACAGGAGATCAGGCAGTGCCTAGGTATGACCCTAAGTGGGACCCTGAAAATAACAAGGATGAATGGAGCCATAACGATTTCATCCACTCCTGAGGATCTAAGGAGAGCCAAGGTAAAACCTCCTAATTACTCCCCAGCCACAGCTGTACAGCAAGGACCCTTAGAAACTCCAGTAGCTTTTCTACAGAGACTTAAGGATGCTTAACTTAAGCATACCAACATTATACCAGAGTCACAGGAAGAGGAAAACATCCTAAAAGATAAATTTCTAACACAGTCAGCACCAGATATCCGTAAAAATTTCAGAAATTGGTGGCTGATGGGAGCAGAGATCTGGACCAATTGGTCCATGTAGCCACATCTGTATACTATAACAGGGACTTAGAAAAAGAAAGGAAGGACCTGGAAAAGGGAAAGAGAAAGGATAAGCGGCAGGAGGCTCTGATTGCCGTGCTCAGAGAGGCTCCCCTGGGGCCAAGTCCAAACCCGAGGACATGCTTTCAATGTGGATGGGCAGGCCATTTTAGGAGGGAGTGCCCTGGAGAAAGCTACCTCCAGGGCCCTGCCCCATTTGTCAGGGAAAACACTGTCCCCGGTTCCCCTGGGAACTGAGGCCAGAGCTTCCCACCCAATGATGGGTCCCTGGGCCTCTCATCCAGGCTCTGTAACCACCATAAAAGCAGAGGAGTCCCAGGTTAAGCACAAGATCAGCCTCCTTATCAATACTGGAGCCAGCATCTCAGCTATTCCTTTCTCTCCCAGACCCACATCCTCCAAGAAAATTACTGTTCGAGGCATATCAGGCCAGCCTCTAGAGCGTTATTTCACTCAACCTTTAGCCTGCTCCTGGGGAGATTTCCTTTTTAATTGTCCCTGAAACCCCTACTCTTCTGCTAGGGTGAAACCTTCTATCTAAATTGGGGGTCCAGCTCCTTTTACTCCCAAGAGAGTACTTTTGCTTGCCCCTGATAAGGAAACAAGTAGACCCCACAGTGTGGATGGATGGACACACTGTGGGACAGGCACGAACAGCTGCCTCAGTTTCTAATTCATCTCAAGGACCCCTCCTGGTTTCCCCATCAAAAACAATATCCTTTAAAACCAGAAGTTAAGGAGGGGATAATTCCATAATCAAAGACTTAAAAAGACAGGGACTGCTAATAGAATGCTCCAGTCCATATTATACTCCTATACTAGGTGTCAGGAAGGGACCTAACAAATGGAGGCTAGTCCAGGATCTCAGCCTGATCAACAAAGCAGTAGTGCCTCTCCACCCTGTAGTTCCAAATCCATATATGCTTTTAGCCCAAATACCTCCAGGTACTACTTACTACTCTGTCCTGGATTTAAAAGATGCCTTCTTTTGCATTCCCTTACACCCTAAAAGTCAACCTATCTTTGCCTTTGAGGACCCCACAAGAAAGTTTGGACAGGTCACTTGGACTGTCCTCCCCCAGGGATTCAGAGACAGCTCCCACCTCTTTAGGTTAGCTCTAACCCAAGATTTGACAGAATGAAAATATCCACAAGCTACTCTGCTATAATATGTAGATGACCTCCTGCTCTGTGGACCAAATGAGTCTGTCATTTCACGAGCCACTGAGTCCTTACTAAACTTCTTAGCAGATAGAGGTTATAAAATCTCCAAAGAAAAAGCCCAATTATATCAGTCTGGGGTTACATATTTAGGTTTTGTCCTGGAGAAAGAAATGAGGGCTCTAGGAGAAGATATAATCTATCCAATCCTGACATTTCCTCTACCTAAAACTCTAAAACAATTGAGGGCCTTTTTGGGGGGGGGTCACAGGATACTGTAGAATTTGGATCCTGGGATATGCAGACCTAGTCAGGCCCTTATATCAAATCCTTAAGGAAGCACAGAAGGATACCCAGCCCTTTATTGAATGGGATGACAAGTCAGAAAATGCATTCCACCAGTTAAAAAAGGCTTTTATGACAGCTCCCACCCTGGGTCTCCCAATACAAGACAAGTTTCAATTATTTGTCTATGAAAAGGGAGGACTGGCCTTGGGCATGGTGACTTAGCTCTGGGACCTCACTCCCCAGCCAGTAGGTTACTTAAGCAAAGAATTAGATCAGATAGCCAAGGGATGGCCAGGATGCTCAGAGCAATGGCCGCAGGAAGCCTTTTAGTGCCTGAAGCTCAGAAACTTATCCTAAACCACCCCCTAACGGTTTATACCCCATGGGACCTAGGGGAAATTTTAAACTCAAAAGGAGAACTTTGGCTATCTGATAGCTGTCTACTTAAATATCAGGCCCAGCTTCTGGGAGGGACAGAAATAACTTTAAGGACCTGTCAGAGCCTAAATTCTGCATCCCTTCTACCAGAGGCAGAGGGAAATCCTGAACACTCATATGAGGAGGTACTTAAGGAAGATTATGCTGCCCGACCTGACTTAACTGATCGGCCCTTAAAAAACCCAGATCTAAAATTATACACTGATGGCAGTTACCTTGTCAAGAATGGTGTCAGACATGCAGGATTTGCAGTTGTGACAGAATTTGGCATCCTCAAATCAGGTCCTCTTCCTCCTAATACAAGTGCTCAATTGGCAGAATTAGTGGCCCTAACAGAAGCCCTAAGACTATCAAAAGAACAGAGAGTCAATCTCTATACAGATTCTAAGTACGCCTTCCTGATCCTGCATGCTCATGCAGCCATTTGGAAGAAAAGAGGAATGCTAATGAATAGGAACAGCTTCCCATAGAAATAAGAGAGGGATAACAGCATTAGTTGCAGCCCTTGCTGGAATCAGTTATGGGGTGATTGCCAGTCATGTAACTGCAAAAAACCTAACCAAAGTGGTACAGGACAACTCAGACCAGGTAGACCTTGCTATTAAGAACATGTGAAGGTCTTTGTCATCCCTTGCCTGTATGGCCATGGACCACTACCTGGCCTTAGATTTTCTTTTGGCCTAACAAGAGGGGTTGCACATATATAAACACTTCAGGCATTGTACAGGAACGTGCAGATTACATTCTCCAACAGGCTAAGTGGTTCCAGGAGCAATCTCTTGAAACTCAGGTTTCTACACAGGTATGGGAACAAATAAAATCCTGGCTCCCCTCCAGGACTTGGTTCCTACCCTTTCTGGGGCCTATAGTTGCCATTATTCTCTTGCTTGGTTTGGGCCTTGCATTTTAAAGTTACTTGTCAAGTTTGTTTCTTCTTGCCTAGAATCTATCAAACTAAAAATGCCTCTGGTGGAGACGAAAACGACCTACTATCGAGGTCCCCTTGATAACCCCTCTCGTGGTCAGCCCCTGCATTGCCCCCTGTCAGCAAGAATCAGTTACTGAACAGACTTCATCATCCCTATCCCTAACAGCAGTTAGGGTGACCATTGAGAGGGGGGAATGAAGAACTGAAGGACAGATTGCAGGAGGTCCCAAAAGGTGATAAGTGGTCAGGGAGACACTTCTCCTCCCTAGGAAATGCCTGTTTGCATCTGAAAGGCATCTCTGCCATCAGGCAATGCAAAAACAAAAGGTGATAAGTGATCAAGGAGATACCTCTCCTTCCCAGGAAACCTCTGTCAGCACCTGAGAGACATCTCTGCCCCCAGGCAATGCAAAAAAAGGCTATAAAACCCAATCCCCAACCTGACCCACAGGATCACCTGTTTCTGGGTCTCCCTGCATTGTCCAATATGCAGTCTTTCTATTCTCTTCTCTACAAATAAAATCTTTCCGACCTCCGCTGTTGGAGTCTGCCTGTGCTTTCTTCCTCAGAGTGGGCTCAAGAACCCTGAGCACCTGAAATTCCTGCAGGTGTCATCCATGCATCACCCCCTCCCCCATAAGGGGCAAACAGACCAATTCATCTAAGAAAGCCTGAGAATCCATGGCCAATGAAAAGAGCCCACCTAACCCTTACCCGAAACCCAGAGCTAAAATGTCCATTAAAAACCCAAGGCTTCACCTGAGCAGTGAGCTACCGGTTTCTGGGCTCCGCTGCAGTTCCCTAGCTGTAGCCTTTCCTTTCTCTCTAATAAATCCTACTTCATATATCAGCTTTGGCTCATCACTCAGCTGCCTCACGAGCCAGTTCTCTGGCCTGTGATGGCAAGGACCCTTGACACTGTCCTGCAACACTTCAAACCAGCATATAATAAAATATTTCACAGAAAAGCAAGGATTGAAGCAGAAGCAAAGTATTATTCACTTACCAAGAGAGGAAAGGGGCAGGATACTAAGAGGTATCAGCCCAGAAGGAGGTTAAGGCTGGGGTTTTTAAGTATTTGAGATGTAAAAGGAACATACTGTTGATGTTTTATTTTTAGCTAGCTAAACCAAACCTATGGCAGGAAGCAACTGGGATGGTAAGTTTCTCAATGTTTTGTCAAAGTGGCTGTTTGCTAGCTTGTACAATCTTTTCTACGATATCACGAGGTCAAATATGTTGTCAACAAGGTGCAAGTGGGATTCCCCTTGAGTTCAGAAAAACAGTTTCTGCAAAACAAAATGAAACAGCCTTCCTGCCAGACAAGATGGAGTCCTTTACAAAATGGAGTAGGTTAGGCTAATTTGAGTTGGGGCCTTACATAGCACTGGCAATACATGAAAATAATAGTGAAGCATATTAGAAAAGGAATTAAGTATAATAGGATTAAAGTGATGAGAAATGGGGGGAAAAGGGAGAAACATAACATGCAGGAAATAGAAGTAGAGACTCATGGTGGTCCTCATTTCTAGTTTTATACTTTGTGAGCTAGACACGTGGTCATTAAGATATTGGATCTGGGTGGCTAAGATGGGTGCTAAAATAGGAAGGTGTCATCCAGGTTTACTCAAATCACAAAGGACTTCCCTTTGGTAGACATGCCTTTCATTCTTTTTGCCCCTCCACCCAACCAAGAAGCCTAGCAACTTGTTAACATCTCAAAGAGGAAGGCAGGTGCAGAGAGCCTAAAGACTCCATATCCTTGTAACTCAGCACCTAAAAGAAGATGGGAGGGGGTGAGGGGGTACCTAACTGCTCTGGCTTTTTAGTTTTTACTTTCTAGTTTCAATGTCTTAGTCTGGCCCATTTAATATCTATGGTCTCTCACCCCTGTACTTCTAGCAGGAAGTGCTTTTTTCCTCTCTTTAAATTTTTCCCTACTTTTATTCTGTTAAGCTAAAATAAATCCTTGCTAAAATACATATCTTGTGAGAGTCCTTGTTGTGAGACACCTTGAAATGCTTTTCATGTGTGGATCTCAAATACCTGTGATTTTGTGTGAAATCTGGGAAATTGTGGGAATCCCCCACTCTTCCTTGGGTAACAACAGGACTCTAGCCCTAGGAAGAGAGACAGACACCCGTATTGACCAAAAGGAAAGGGAATCAGGAGAATAAATGACTCTCCCCCTTTCCCTCTTATCTGCTAGTGGTCAAACCCCACTGGTCAACCCCCAACTGAAGGGCAGAGAGCTAGCAAGTCTTTTGGGGCATGGCCCTGCTGCTAATTTCTCAGGCACAAAACAGGTACGAGAAGACTAGAGATTGCACCTGGAGAGACAAATGAAAGATGCCCAGCACTTCTGCTCACCAGTCAGTGAAATCCTCCTGTGCCTGCTTCTAGGACAGCAGAACTCAAGAGGTACTCTAAGAACTGAATTCCATTATTTCTGGTTTCCAGAGAGTGCAGCTGTAAGAGGTGCTCAAAATACTTTTGCTGAAAAGCACTGAATCCTCCTTGGGCACAAAATTAACTAAAAACAGGAGAAGCTTGGCATCCCTACCTCTATTTTGTGTCTGTCTTTGCTCTAAGCCATTTTCTTTGCAGTCACTTTGCAATCATCTTGAATTCTAGGAAACACAGATAATATCTTTATGACAAGGGACAGAAACTACACCCAACAGTAGACTTTCCTTTGGATGGACCACCTGCCTAGTTCCAGGTAATAACTCTAGAGCCTCTCCCAGAACAATGACTGAAGTAATGACAGTTCACACCTGTGACTGTTTAGCTATGCATACCTTTTGCCCTCTGCCCCCAGTTATTTTGTCTGCTTCAACCTATAGCTCATGTTGGTACCTCGAAGACAGCTGAAGATGAGCTGAGTGCTTACTCTGCCTCTTCCCACAGCCATGTAATAAACCTCCTTTCTCTACCTTCAACAAGCCTCTTTATTTGGCATTTAGGGGTGGGTGGTTGGACCTGGCACATGGACTCTCAGGAGTTTGGACATTTGGTCCAAAATTCCAGTTTCACCACCCGCTTGTTAGGGCTTTCCACCTGTTACTGATGGGCCAACCCAAGGGTAAACATTGGTCTGGTATTGGGTTCTGTCAGTCTACTGCAAAACTGTCACTGAGGCACACAATGCCTTGGAAGCCCCAAGAATCCACAGTGAAACACAGTTTCATGTGCTACCTTCGTGACGCATGTTCAGAGAGCTCCCAGATTGAGAAGAGACTGTAAGTCTCCCCCAGTCATAGCAGCTCTGGCAAGGCTACTGTATTCAGTTAACCATTCCACGGGGAATGGCTTCTCTTAATGCATACAAGCACTAACCTGGGGGGAAAACAAGCTTTGAAGATGGCTGCCTGGGCGATATTCCTCTGAAAGGAACAGATCTGATATATCTCATTTAAAAGGTTGGGTTTGCACTTCTTCCCTTCTAGGAGGGTCATCAATCCCACTTTAATTTTGTAAATCTAAATAGATACATGGGAGAGCTCCTCAGATTGAATAGTAAGTCACAGCCAAATTCCTACAAATCAACATTGAGAGATTAGGAGTCAGGAGCAAGTCAAGCAAATAGAGAGAGTGTTCAATAACTAACTGAGAGTCACACAATAAAATAAAGTGTTAATGGCGCTGGTGCAGTCTGTGATCAGAAGGCTTTCAAATTCTTTGTGTCCCATGTGGAAGAATCCATGGCAGGACACAAGGGTATAAATCGAATTTATTAAAAGTTAGGGAAGGGGAAAATACAAAAGGAGAGCATGATGATTCCAAGTGAAATCTGGAGGCCAAGAGAATGTGTTTCTGCTCTTAGATGCTTTAAAAACCTACAATAACCTTTGGGAAGGGGAGAACCAGGTGATTCCTATCCAATAATCAATGAGTGGGGTGAGGCATGGCTGGTTCCCAGCCAGGTGAGGGTGGTTCCTGAGCCAAAGCATGTTTAATCTAAGATGTAATATTTTTCTGAATCCTGAACTTTCCCTAATTTTAGCCTACCTAAAAAGGAAAAAGTTAGTCACAGAATGTTTTGCACCCATTTCACCACAAAGCAGGTTCCAGAATCTGGCAGCAAAACAGGATGACCTGAGGTTGACCTATACAGAAGGGGAGGCAAAAGGTAGGAGGAGAAGCATTTTGAGGACTATTCCTTGAGTCTGAGCACCAACCCCCTCCAAACCTCATTGTTCACTTAGGACATGGCCATCAAAGGAACCAATAAAATCTGCATTAGTTCCGTACCTAGTTAGCATATGAATTTGGGTAACACCTTGCTTTGCTGAATAAAAGCCCAGAGTCACTGGCAACCCACTTGGGATCCCTTCCTTCTGGATAGAGGGAGCTTTCATTCTTTAGCTTAATTAAAGTTCCTAGCTATAATCCTTTGTTGTCCATGAAGTTCATTCTTTGTCTTCATGAGGTAAAGAACTCAGCAAAGAATCCAGAATGCTGACACACTCCCTCTGCTAAACACTTAAGCCAGCAAAGTTAAGTGGAGGATTTCATCCTGCACAAATCTATATCAATATGAGAAATACTAAAAGTCCAACAGAAAAAAATGGCTAAGCTGAATGTGGTGGGGCACACCTAACCCCAGCTATTGGGAAGGTAGAGACAGGAGAATCACTAGTTCAAGGCCAGCCCTAGCAAAGTGAGTTGGATCCTATAACAGAAACAAAAGCAAAACAAACAACAAAAAAAGGGTTGCAAGAGTGGCTTAGGAGATAAGAGTGCCCCTCTCCCACACACACAGCCAAATACATAAACAAGAATTTCAAGAGATGAAACACAAGTGGTACATAAACATAGGAAAAAATATTTAACCTTAACTGTATTAGTAATCATTTAGTAATCAGAGAAATACAATTAAAACTATGAGGCAAGATGAATATATCCACCAGCCTGGAAAAATTTAAAAAGTGGAATAAAACCAAATGCTGGCTGGAAGGTTAAGTGTGATGTTGTTCATCCTTTAATGGGGGAAATGCAAATTGGTATAACCACTGTGGAAAAACAGTTTGGAATGATAGAGTAATACTGAATATGCACAGACCTTACAATTGTACAGTTCCATTCCTGGGTTTATACACCAGGACATGTATACACACATGTATAAGAAGTCTTGTTCATAATAATCCCAAACTGGAAATCATAACATATTCAAACAATGAAACACTACAGAACATAAAGTGAATGAATGTCATCTATAAAACCATATCAAAGCCATCATGCTGATTGGAAGAATGAAATCTTTATGATCCCCATTTACAATACAGTGCAAAAAATGAGTACACATGTTTGTAAATGCAAAAATGATACCTATTGAAACTATTCCAGGAATTGGGGAAGGGGAGAATGAAGGAGAATGGTTGAGGGGGTAAATTCAAGTATGATATATTTGATACATTGTAAGAACCTGTGTAAATGCCACAATGTACCCCCACCAGCACAAAAAAGGAAAAAAACCTTCCTATTAAAAATAATACATTATTCATATCAGTATAAAATTTCCATACACTTTTTTTCTTCTTTAGGAAAAATTTTTGGAAATAAACATGCTGAATGACTATATTTTGTCACCTCTCCCCCCCACAAAAAAGGGCTGGTGGAATGGCTCATGGTGTAGGCCATGTAGGCCCTGAATTCAAACCCCAGTACTGAAAAAAAAAAAAGAAGAAAGAAAAAAGAAAAGAAAAGAAACTCAGTAAAACATTTATGGTTGAAGGATGTGACACATATGGAACAATGCAGAAATGAAGAAAAGGAAGAAAATAATTACCCTAAAATTCAAAGTTGGGGGAGGGAGTTTGGAAGAGCATGAAACATCTTCAAGTGAATTTATAATATTTTACTTCTTAACCTAGATACTAGTACTGTTATGGTTTGGGTATAAAATTGCCTCAAAGAATCCTTTGCAGAAACCTTAGTCCCCAGCTGGTGGCATCATTAAGAGGTGATTGGATTCTGAAGGTGCTGAACTCATCACCGGACTGATCTATTGTTCATCACTGAACGGACTAT